TTATTACGTACTCTCAACGTTCACTCACACATCTGCTAGACCTCCGTGGGTTTGTTTTAGAATTTAGAAATCGGATATTGGACACTATTTTTTCTCGTTCTTTTTTGTGGCTAGAAAACACATAACCTTTGTTACGTTGTTCTGTAGTGATTAACATCGTGTTGGTCTGTGTAGTAAATGATAATCCTGAACGATGTCATACGACCACTGGTTTCAATGATTGCGAATGAAGATTATGTTGAATGGTAAGACGTAGTGTGTGTGTGTGTGTGTGTGTGTGTGTGTGTTATTCTCGCCAGGTTTTGACGGTACCTGCATACATAATACTCATCGTAGCTGTAAGGATCTTGTATCTTGAGGTCCTTAGCTCCGTGAGAGACAGCAGCAACAGCGCCCGGCCGTACATCTGGAGAATCCGAGATGAGCTTAACAGATGTTCCTTCGTGTGTTCCCTAAACAGTTGTTCCAACACGTGTTATACTAACAGTTCTCCCTACAGGCATTATGCTATCAGATCTCTCTACATGTGTTATACATTTTGTTCTTGCATGTGTTATACGGACAGATGTTCCTACACATGTTACACCAAGATCCTGCCCTGTTAGCAATTATCCTAAGGAGGAGGACACGTCACGTCTACCGTCTGGGTTTTCATAAGTCATCTCGCCATAACATTTCTCTTCTGTACCTGTACAAGTGGCCTCTACACAACCTACTTAAGATCTTTACGTGCATACTTAACCAATAATTTTGTGAGTTCTTGTAGTTATATAGTATGCCTGGGTTATGAAGGTCTACAGGAATTCGCTAAAAGTACTAATTTCTTTTGCTCATTAGCATATTCAGGAGCGATTAAGTAATTAGCAAGGCATGTGGGCATGGGTGAGCCCCTATACCTGTGTGGCTGCAAGAGTCAATTACTTGCAGGAGTCTGGTCAGCAAGTGGTAGGTCGGGTCTGAGGGGTCATGCAGCATTCCTGGGGCCGTGAGAACCAACCTTGTAGCATCCCTCAAGGTCGCTCTACTACCGTCTCTCGGTCCTCACCCTGACTAGAAAAAAACCTGACAAAACAAAGAGATGAAATGCTATTTTTTTCTGGTCCCCCGTTCTGTAGAACTTTATAAATTTATTGATTCTCTAATGCATGTAGTTATTTTTTACTCGTGTGTTTTGCATGAGCTACGGAGGAGATAGATCTTGCCTTTATACAACAAAGAGAGTCAGAATGAGTAGCTGGCAACGCACGGCACCTCGGGTGGTCTGCTGGGTAACATTACGCCGGTGGCTGGTGGTAATAGCCGCTTCTGGCTACACGGATGCAATAAAACATCTACTATGAATGGAATAGCTGGCTGTCCCACCCACCTCACGACAGAATGAATGAGATGGCTAATTACCTGCTCCACCTCTGGACAAAATACACAGAGACACTTGACCGTCTAAGTCACCCTGAGACGGAGTGTAGGAGAAGAAAAACTTTATGAGTGACTCAAGACTAAAGGGTTAACTCGGCACACGGAGGATGAATGCGATAGCCGGCTGTCTCACTCACTTCAGAACACCATATAAAACCGGCTGTTTGATCCACCTTCTGACACAATGAATCTTGTACCTGACTCTCCTCCGCTCAGAAGAAAATTCTGTTGTACTTAGTAATATTTTCCTTGCAAGATGTTTGATGGTCTGGCATGAACTGTATGGCAGTAGTTTGAGGCCGTTAACGTCATTAAGAAGAGAATCACAAATTGTCGCTAATGTTAAAGGAGAACACTAGTGAGTAACATGATATTCCAGTGAAATTTTCTCACTGGAACAAGTCTCGAGTGATTATGGAAGCGAGTGAAAGGTGGTTTACGTCTGTCAGGTGCTGGGTGTTTGTGTGATTGTAGGTCTTGAGGTTTTTTCTTGTAATTATTATTTTTATTACTTGCCACTTCCACGATTCCCAAATAGACGATTTAACCTAACCGAATCTAACCTTACCTTATCAAACCTAACCTAATCAGACCTAACGTAACTTAACTTAGATTAACTTAAACCTAACCTAACCTAACCTAGCCTAACCTACTCAATCGTCTAAATGGGATGGAAAATATCGCATAAAACAGACAGTCGTCCATGTGGGAGGACACCTTGTTTTGTGTTGTAACATTGGAACCTAAGATGGATATGAATAATGTATGTGATTCTTAGATCAAAGAGACTCGTGCTAAAACACCATTTAGCTAGGCACTCAGCGAGACAGCAGCAACGCTCAAGTATGAATGAATCATTCGTCAGTAGCCATAAACTACATCGTGGAGGTTTATCGCCGTAAGAAACTAGGCAACATATGTGAGGCCATGGTGATAAGTACAGTACATCAAGTTTTCCTTCACTTACTCTACCATTTACCACCATAACCGATATTGATTGCATACATTATGAACAAGTTACATTACGCATTTTGCCACGATTTCGGGGAGGTGGGGCTTACCCAAGAATTAATACCTCGGTTTGCTTTAGTAACACACTGTATACATCACCGTGTTTACAGACATATTCTCACGATAATATAATTAATCCCATAGCCGAGTCCCATGAAGGAAATGGGAGGCTCAATGGCTACTGTTGGTATTGAGTGTTATATGAATTGGGCGCCACAGTGATTATAGCCCACCTCACCACTACACCCCGTTGGCCCTCCCCAGCTGCTGGGTTTCTGGCGGTATGTTGTCATGTTTGATTATCTTGTAGGGGATTATTATGGTAGGTAGTTCAAGGTTGGTCTGGTACTGTCTTGAATATGTGTGTGTGTGTGTGTGTTGGCCGTTAACTTTTGGGGGAAGGATTACACTAATTTTCTAATGAAAATTGCCAGAAGGCGCCAAATCGGTATCCTACTAGGTTTACTGACGGATATGTTATATCCGTCAGTAATCCTAGTAGGAGACACTGGCATATACATGTATATAGAAAATATATATATATATATATATATATATATATATATATATATATATATATATATATATATATATATATATATATATATATATATATATATATATATATATATATATATATATATATATATATACAGAAGTATTTGGTCAGAGATCTCTTGGTATTAAAATATTACTGTGAACCTATAATTTCATATCGAATATGGACATATATCCCAGTAGCGTATCACCGTCTCTGAGACCATAATTTCCTACACTGTTTACATGGAAGATGTCGTGGTGTGCTTCCCGATCCAAATGGGTTTTATTAGAAATAGTCGAGATTGTTGCTATTTTTTTGTTGTTGCTCAAGTGTTTGTTATATTTCTTAGTTGCCTGAAGTATACGAATAGAGTACATTCATTTTGGACGAGAGGCTGGGGGGGCTAAAAAGCTTTCTCTCGCCGACTGCTCTAAGGGTCGCTGGTACAGTACGCTGGCGAGACAGGCTCCAGGTACGAGGTGTTGTGTATCGTGAGTTTTTATTAGCGCTCGGTGAAGGTGTTATTACACGTGCTTGCTAAGATCATTCTAAATAACGCTAAAAGGATCTCATGAATATTAGACCCCTAGCTTTTTTCACCAGCTGATTGAACACCCTAATGCTATATGGGCGGTTAGGTTGGGCTAGATTAGGTTAGCGATAGGGTGTTTAATCATCATGTGAAATTAACCGGGGGACTAACCTTCACGTGATCCCACATTAATTATCCATGGGGTGACGTTGGGTTCAACTCTCAAAAGCTATTCTGAAAACGGCACGAGTCACCACACTTGGATATACGGCGGACATTGAACACTTCCAAGACTCCGTCGATGATCACTGAAGAACTACGATTAAATTTCGTAATATATCACGGATGATTTATATAGTCCAAAGTCGCAGTAAAGACTGAATGGCAGAATTACAGAAATTTATTACTTAATCGTGTAAGTGCTACAAACCGTTTGTATTCAGGTCTGTAATATCTTGACCTTCTACTGTACCAAGAAATGCTGTATGGTGGTTGAGGAGGAACATGACGGCTCACAATTGCCTACAGTTTTTAAATGTGTCGAGCTTGCCGATGCAGATTTTAAGACCCTCCTGCTGTGAACTGTACCGAGGAGGCTTAAAGTGGGTGTTTCAACCCTATATACCAGCTCGAGGAGGTTATGAGGCCGACTTTATAAAATAAATTCTCCGAAGATGTTAAGAAGTTTGTGACCGCATTAGTTTAGATTTTTAATTAATCAGGATTATCTTTGTCATCCTTTTCTGAATGCTTTCTATAGGATCACTGTAGTCTCACATACTCAAGATATTTCGTACATAATTGTATTGCTGTCTAGGAAGAGCGGTCGACTCTTTCCTCTGATGGGAGTTGACCTAGCTCGGACTAACATAAACGCCGGTCAGTCGTTCAGCCACGCTCATAATGGAGTTAGCCTGGTATGATAATTGTGGTGGGAATGGAAACAAAGTAGTTGCTGGTCAATAACTGAACTTGTGAAACTTGTTCTCGCATACTGTATTCCACCAAACGCTACAGAACACTTCTCTGGTTTTCACATCGAGTTAAATATCACAAACTTACAGTTTATGACAATAGTTGCTGATGTAACACCAGGTTAGAGGTGTTTTGGGGCGGCATTTCACCTCTGCCAGTGCATGCTACCAGTACACTGAATAGATTACTTAACAATTCACTCATTTGAGTGTCGTGCCATAGTGAATGATTCTTACACTGACCGGACTGCAGCATCAGGCAGGCGGAATGAAGAATTCTTCATCGATCTGTACCGCCTGAGGCTCACAGGCAATGGTGCCGTGTCGTGGAGTGTAGTCGGTGGTGGGCGAAGGTGCCAGTCGCTGTGGTACGCTGCAGTCCTCCTCACACAGCACTTCGCGTCAACACTTTGCTTTGCTTTTGAGCCATCTGCTTTCGTCAGTCAAGTTATAAAGACATATATACAGTACATATTATGTATGTGTATAAGGCACTCGCTGTGTTAAATACCATGCACTTGGCGTTATGTCTGGAGAATTCAACGCTGTGGCCAACACAGCCATCGGGGTGGGTGTCGACACTCTCCCCAGTGACAGCTCGGGTACTGAGGGAGGTGACAGCGGGGCCTCTCAGTGGCAACCAGGTGACGCTCATGGTGGACCAGGAGATAGAGAACTACCACAGCGTCGTACTCCTCTTGAGGACCATTGCAACACCCATTTACTACCTACGTGTTTCACCAGACACTTCTGAGTACTCCTTCGACACTCACCACTTCCATCTCACACACAGTAAGGGCCTTGCTAGTCATGATACGACGTATTAGTTATAGTTGAACTTTGAAGACTGTCTGCTCAATACACAAGACACCGTATGTAATAAGTGCTAACTTTGTCTCTAATACATAGTGAGGGGCTTAAGAAAAAAGTATATTAAGTATGAGACACCAGGTTACCTGCTACTTCAGGAACCGCTACGAACAAGTTATTATGTTACCAACTGTGGTGGTAGTCGAGGTCTGGTCTAATGATTCATTTTTTACAAGAACTTTTGTCAACCAGAGTGAGAAGAGAACTCAAGGATTAAAAACTAGACATTTCTAATATAGAACTGTTTTGATTATGTAAAGTGCCATATTAATATCGAAATTTTACATCATAGTTTAATGCATTTTTGAGTACGAAATATTCCGCATCTACCAGACAGATTGTATTTGGTTGTAGAAGTACTCATTTGGACCATCTTATATGTTGACATTTACAGGGATCATATATTTGTCTTCTATGTAACTCTTTGTCGTAGCCTTTATTCTAACCCAGGATAGAGATTCGCCTTATGATTAAACACCCCAATGCTAACCTAACCTAATCTGCCCTAACGTAACCTAATACAATCTAACCTAATTTAACCTAACCTAACGTACCGGGTAATCTATTCTAACCAAACCTCGTGTAACCTAACCTAATTTAACACACTCTAACCTAACCTAACCTGTCCTAACATAACCAAACACAATCTAACCTAATTTAACCTATTTTAACCTAACCTCATTCTACCCTAACACAATACAACCAAACCTAACTTAACCTATCACAATCTGACCTAACCTCCTCATTTAGTGTTAGGGTAATTATTCATAAATTGTCAGGAAATCTGGTGTACAGTAAATGTTGTTCTAGGGTTCACCTGACTGTGTCCATCACATTGCTACAGATACAGAGTGAACAATATTGACATGACTGAGCTAAACGAGAGCCTGAACCCTCTTAGTGGCACCAGATATATACTGTACATTTATCTCAAGGAAGTATTGTATATCATTTAGTATCGTCTGGATTACTACATGTAACATGGTGTTGATAATACATATGAGAATGTTACAGCGATTATAACTTTATTTATTGATTTATCATTTTATTTAATTAATTCGTCTTGTGTGAATTTATCAAGATTTATCTTATCCACGTTCCCATTGTGGATCTAAATGAAATATATATATAATACAGTAGAGTTGATATACAGTAATCTGATAGGTGAGTAGAAGCAATACAACTTGGCGTGTGTTGGGATGAGACAAAGGGACAGACAGACAGACAGACAGAATCACATCTTTGGTAATTTCTATCAACGTGAAAACAGAACCTCCCCCACTCTCCTGGTCCCCATATTAGAGTATAAGTCTTTAGTTCCAGACCTGTTATCTGCGATGGTAACTCGGGAATATTTATACTGTTATCTTTCAATTTTCTGTTCTCATCTGACCTAGCTTTACCTAACCTAACGGGAAATGTTTCACCAGATACTCCACCAAATTATCGTATGTATCTCTCGAAAACATGTCAACAACAATGACAATGACAGTATCTTAATAAATCTTGCTCTCACTACCTCTGTCATATGTGTTGAATATTTATATTAATACAGTATTAAACTTTACAAATAACTGTGATTGGAAATCACAAAATCTTGGGTATCTATGTTGCAGGTCTGAACAAATTTTGATAGAATTTAATACCAGCCTTCACAGATTCTAGACAAATTTTACTCATTCAGTAACGTTCAGGGAGATTTAACTCACCTGAATTTCCTGCAGTAGGGTTTCTCGGTTTTAGGGCTTCCTAGCAGTAAATAGGCCCCCAAGCGTTAGGTCTTTCTTGCAAAAGGACCTCCCAGCAGTAGGTTTTCTTAGCAGGGGACCTTACAGCAGTAAGACCTCCCAGCAGAACAACCCCCCAGTAGTTTGGTCTCCCAGCAGTAGGACTTCCTAACAGTTGGATTCCCCAGCAGTTTGGGCCTTCCAGCAGTTTGGGTCTCCCAGCAGTTGGGTCTCCCAGCAGTTGGGCCTCCCAGCAGTTGGGCCTCCCAGCAGTTGAGCCTCCCAACAGTTGAGCCTCCCAACAGTTGGGTCTCCCAGCAGTTAGGTTTCCCTGCTGGGCCTCCAGCAGTTGGGCCTCCCAGCAGTTGGGCCTCCCAGCAGCCTCCAGCAGTGGGCCTCCCAGCAGTTGCCTCCCAGCAGTTGCCCTCCCAGCAGTTGGCCCCACTCTCCCAGCAGGGCCTCCCAGCAGTTGGGCCTCCCAGCAGTTGGGCCTCCCAGCAGTTGGCCCTCCCAGCAGTTGTCCTCCCAGCAGTTGTCCTCCCAGCAGTTGGGCCTCCCAGCAGTGGGCCTCCCAGCAGTTGGGCCTCCCAGCAGTTGGGCCTCCCAGCAGTTGGCCCTCCCAGCAGTTGTCCTCCCAGCAGTTGTCCTCCCAGCAGTTGGGCCTCCCAGCAGTTGGGCTTAGCCGTTACCCCAGAAAAATAAACCACAAGGTGATATGAGTCAGTGTAGATCAGCTTACTGGGAAAAGTCGTCTCCTCGCCCTGGTTGTTTGTACCTTATTTTAGTATCTCTACTTCCTAACATTATTTTCATACGAGTTTAGATCATCAATTATAGTTAAAAAATATTCACATTTGGTTTACGGTGAATGGCTTGTTTATGAATGTTTCCATGCAATTATTGAACGGAATGGCATATGTAATGATACATTCTGTTGCTAAATAGGGAATCGATTTTCCAAATAGTGTTTAGGGAGTATATACAGTAGTGTGCAAGTGTGGAAATTCTTTATAAAGTATTAAGAATATTTTTATTATTTGACAGGCGTGGTGGTGGTAGTGGTGGGACAGGTATCGCGGTGGTCGCTGTGGTCGCCCCCAGACTGGTGGTCGCCGCGGGCCCTGGTGGTGGTGGTCGTGGCGGCGACGTGTGGGGCGCAGCGCCTCCTACAAACACCCCTCTTCCAGAACTCCCCCGCCGCGGCCCTTCTCTGCCCGCACTTCCCACACCGTGAACCTGAACCCCCTGTGTACCATGTGGTGACCCGCCTGCCCTTCGCCGCTGGCGGCGAGCGCCTCAAGGTGGGCGTCTGGCACTCGCACTACTACACCTGGGAGAATCTTTTTTACGATAGATTTCGCGACTTTGAAGGCACGGCAATTCATGTATCAAGCGACGTTGACGACATGCCTTTCGTGTTTAAGAGAGACGACGGCAGTCTAGACGGTACCAGCAAAAGGTTAATGGATGTCTTGGCTTCTTGGCTCAACTTCACCGCCACCTACTCAAATAAGGCCTCAGACCGTAAGTTAGATTTAATTACATTTACATTTAATTGCATTTACATTTAATTACATTTACATTCCTGCTAATGTCTGTATAATTACAGTATTTGGTTCCTACGCTCCAGATCGTAAATATCCTGGATCTAGTTCAGCTACACTGCACTATTTAGACCTCAGATCGTAAGTACTATAGTCTACAGTATAGACGTTCATGACATGCGACCTGTAGTGTCATGATGTTGTTGAAAACTCAGTCTGGAGTGTCTCCTTCACTAAGGCTGCGGTTAGTGTTTGTACAGAACAATAAACCAGGTTGAATTTGTACAGTATATTAAACTAATTTTGATATAAAGGCAAAATTAAGTCTTAGAACTTTTTATTTCTTGTTTGATCTTATAAATTTTAATTGGTATCATATCAAAATTATATGCATTTTAGCTTGCATTAAAAATGATAGTATATAAGAAGTGTTCTTTGTAACTTCACTGTACTGGAGAGAGGGTCTGATGCTTCTGAGACTCTTCCTTCTTAAACAAGCATCATTTGTCAGAGATGTACGGGCTCTGATGCCAATAATAGACGGAGGACTCGAGTCATTAAATGTGCTAAAAATTACTTCAGACTAGATACGAAGGAGATAATTCCAGAGTAACTTGCTTAGAAACTTAGGTTTCAGCAGTTCGAGGTTGTGTAACTGTAAAGAACTGAACCCAACAGACTACCCCTGACTCCAGAGACCATCTGTTGCTATATCACACCTCGTCATGAAGGGCACGATGCACCAAACAGTGAAAGATAAGTGGGCCGAAAAAAGACTGATTTTAACATGGCTTCATCCTTTTCGTTAGGCAGAGAAGGTGACAGAACAGCTTTACTCCCAAGAAAACCAACCTGAACCACCTTCCTTCTTCTCTCAGGGGCAGCTACATTCATTCTAATTTTGTCTCCTTTAAACTCTCTCTATGGCTGGATTGTAAATTAGTTGAAAGACTAACCTAGATATTGTTTCATCAAATAATAGAGGTAAATACTCAACAGGTGTCAGGCACTTCACGAAGAGCGATGATTAGACAAATGATCAATTAATATCAAAACTTTATAGCGAGGTGTTTGTGTTGTCTTGCCAGCCGTAACATCCGTTGATATCCAGACTCCAGAATGACGCAAAGAGAAGCACCACTACTGTATGTACGAGTATATAAAATAAGGATTTTGTGTTGTAAACTTATCTATGGCAGAGAAGAGTCTGTCATGGCAACATGTGACTGAGTGCAGGTGGCGACAATCGACTTGTGTTACCTCATAGTACATCAACACTAAGAAGCCAAAGACAGAATGTAAAAGGTTATGGTCGTTCTATGAACTATTTGATATTACACTTGAAATTTACTTATTTAGCTTAACCAGGTGAAAAAGTGCAGGACTTTACCGAAGCTCTCACAGCTGGTGATGTAGGTCCTTGTGCGTCGATATATCGATCTGACACTGCGGGAAATGAAAGCCAGGTCCACCATACTAGCCCCCTGGTGCTAAGGAATCATGGCGGTGTTTAATTATGACGAGTGTTATGTTTGTCTGTAGATATTGGTCTTCCATTGCTCAGTGGGAGGAGAATGGGCGAGTTGTCGGTTCGAGGTAAGCACAAAAAATACACTCTGCCACGTTCGTAGAGTGATACGGTATTTATAATTTGTAATAAACGCTTAAAGCCCTGCTATAATAGTTGAGATAAGTTTATTTCTCTAGAAACAGGGCCACCATTGGCAATGACGTTACCACCTTCCCAGCAGACGACGCTCTCCAACAAACTCACCACTGCAGTCGATGGTAGTAGTAAGAATGGCCTCTTCAGACCCCAAATGTTACGTTCAGGTAATTTTTAAGGGTGTTTTTTATGGTATAAGTCATGGACATGTCGTAAGTGAAGAAATGTGTCGTGAAAAACAGCTTCAAACAAAGGTTGGAGGATGGACATATGAGCGATAGGGGTTGGGTGTAAACGGGACTGTCCAGTATGGGCCAACAGGCCCGCTACAGTTTCCTCCATTCTTATGTTCTTTTAGATATAAAAAAAACTCCTATGTTCACACCAGCTCAGCTGTCATGTATTTTTACCTGAAAGACTCTCTTTTTTTTCAGTGAATTTACAGAATATATCAGTACTAGATGGAGATACGAGTCAATTTAGAAGTAATGACATTGTCTGGACTTTGTTTTAAGAATGCCTGATGCTTGGTAAACATGACAACATAGTGCTGTTCTGTTATTGTTTTGATGAATCACTAATGAACCACTGGGATATATCATCATTGACATTAATTAATGGGTTAAATTTTACCTCAACTACTGTAAGTATTTGGATGCTTACTGTAGATTCGAGATAGGCTACATTGGGTAGCTTTTTAGCTTTGGTCATCCCTGTACTTAGAGATGCAGACTGTTTTTTTCTGATGGTTTGCGATGTGTTATGAACGGTTTTGACCTTCATTTCTATCGGAAATCACTAGTTTTGAGTTACCACCCCCCCCTTAACGGTGTATGTTAAGCTAATCTTATAACTTATAATATAACTTATCATAACCTAACCTGACATATGATCTGTATTTTCTTATGCGATCGAAAAATTTTTTGTGACAGAAATCCCGTAGAGATAATGTGTCTTATTGTTTAAAGTACTTAACCCCATAGTTAGAATCTTAAGGTTCCCCAGATGACCAAAACCAAAATAATACCAATATTGTTTGAAATGTTTATACTATGAAATTTGTAGTAGGGGCAGCTAATATCCATTGAATTAGTTAATGTGCTTAGTAATATTTATATATTCAAAATAGAATTACTGTGTTGCACAGTAAAGTACAATTAATTCTAATAATATTTATTTACTGAGCCGATCAGCCGAGAAGGTTGCACAACTACAGCTGGCTGCTTCCCGCTGGGAAGCTCGCCCCAACCAGTGAAGTTCGTGTAAAGCCACGGCACTATCTCTCCCACTATAATTCCCTTCCTAACCTCCTGCTCCTTCCGCTGTCATCTTCCCCGCTCTGCCTTTCGCTACCAACAACTTTTGTTGGAGCTTTTAAACTTGGAAAAGTGAAGTCACAACCAACCACAGAGCTTTTCGCAGTCACGTGACTTTCTAGCAACTTTAACCCTTATTTTTTACACTTTTTGGCTGTAAAGGCCTGGGACTTAGGGGATAGAAATCCCTTACCAGGCTAATCAGGATCTTAATAAAGGAAAGTCAAGGACCATGGTTTTCTGAGGAATAACAAACAACCGTTTGAGATTGACATCTCCTTACTATAAAAATATAACACAAAACTCTGACACCACTCAACAAACATCAAATAACAATTAAGGCAGTCAACAGTTAATGGAGACAAACAATTAATGGAAGCAATCAATTAAAGGGAGCAAACAATTAATGGGAGTCGGCAATTAATATAATCAAACAATGAACAGATATTTCCTACGGTAGTGGCCCTGGGGGAAGGTTCTGGAACACGGTGATGCACACTCAGGGTAGGGAAGCGTAAATTCAACTCCACACTCGAGCGACTTCTTGAAATGGCAGGAGAACACCGGGGCACAGACGGAATGAGATGAACTGGCAGTCGTGGTATGCGGTAGTGGTAGATGACCAGAGAATTGACAGTCGATAGGTGAAGGTCTGGGAACACAGCCCACGAGTCCAGGACCTATGATGAGATCACAGCCAGAATTTGACGGACAGAGGGGTAGCTAGATAGTGACTGTATGGCGGCTGGGTTGAATCTCCCGGTGACCCAGATAGTAGCTGCTGTTCTCACCTCTGTCCAAACCGCCCCAAGTGTCGTCCACACCAGCAAAAGAGAGTTAGCAGCGGTAACCAGCAGGAAGATCGTTTTCGCCCTTACATTGGCCCAATTTATTAAAAAAAATCATTACCAAAGTGAATTTAAGCGTTTTATTTCCACATTGACCTGCCATCTTCCGAAAAAAATTTGACCGACAACTTGTCCATTGCTGGCGCTCATAAATAGGTACATGTAACACTTTGCGTGAGTGAATTCATTGCACAACACTGGCCAGTCAGAGCAACATTGATTTCTGGGGTTGATTTTAATAATTTATTTCACCTGATAATTTCGGCTAATTGTAACCAGAAACAGAACGTGGAAGTGCTGAAACTATCCTTATATGCATTTTTTACTTGAAGCGAAATACTGGGGTATGTCAAGTAAAAATTCCTTAATATTGCAAATGACGTAATGACGAAATGCATACTGTATATGAATTCGTGTGTGGAGGGAAGGGTGGTGGTGTGTGGTTCCATAGAGCTCGTATTTTCTATGTAAACATTCCTCGTTCTTCAGATTTATCGTGTCCTTATTCACTGGATACATGAAATTAGACAGACTATATCATCTTATTTTACACATAAACACATTGATACATAAGAGCCAATGATATTATTTTACAGGGTATATATGTACAGTATGTTATGTGGTAACCAATTATGTGATACTATGTTATGTGGTAACCAATTATGTGATACTATGTTAACCAATTATGTGATACTATGTTATGTGGTAACCAATTATGTGATACTATGTTATGTGGTAACCAATGTGATACTATGTTATGTGGTAACCAATTATGTGATACTATGTTATGTGGTTACCAATTATGTGATACTATGTTATGTGGTAACCAATTATGTGATACTATGTTATGTGGTAACCAATTGTGTGATAAAAATTTGCGTTTTCGTACCACAATGAAAATACCGAAAACACGCGTAAATTAATATTGAGAGTGATGTGAATTAACAAGTAACGTGTGTATTTTTTTTCAGTTAATTTGCGTGGAAACATTCTTATGCCAGCTTTGACTATTTTAAATGTTGATTTTCATCCATCGCTGGTCATCATCCTCATCACCCGAGTCACAGTCTTCATCCATCACTGGTCATCATCATCACCCTAGTCACAGTCTTCATCCATCACTGGTCATCAGCATCACTAGTCACAGTCTTCATCCATCACTGGTCATCATCATCACCCTAGTCACAGTCTTCATCCATCACTGGTCATCAGCATCACTAGTCACAGTCTTCATCCATCACTGGTCATCATCATCACTAGTCACAGTCTTCATCCATCACTGGTCATCATCATCACTAGTCACAGTCTTCATCCATCACTGGTCATCATCATCACTAGTCACAGTCTTCATCCATCACTGGTCATCAGCATCACCCTAGTCAGTTTTCATCCATCCTCATCGAAGCATTAGCCAGAACACACAATCTCTCTCAAAATCAGTGCATCTCTAAACGTGTCAGAAACCCCTTTTATTTATTTATGTTTTCGTTCGGCTATTCGCTCTATGTAAAAGCCACGTTCGTCATCACTTGCAATATTTTGGTCTTCACTATTGAGACGTCACATCACAGCCCTTCTTCATCCTCTAACAAAATTCAGCTCTAACCCCCAACGTCCGCCACTTTACTTAATTTATTCTTACTTTGATTGCTAATGTTCTGATAGAATTCAAACCATCAGTCCACGTATATTTTAACCTTTTTATGTTCTATTACCAGATACAAATCCACTCTTAGAAATATTGTGCACTTGTACATCCTTCACTCCTCACACCCGACTGCAGCTGGTCACTCGTAATTTGAACTTCTCTGCTTCAGAGTACTAGCCATGATCAGGGCACAGGTCACCAACCCACAACGGGATCTCGGGGGCGAAAAATGAGAGTAAAAATAAATCAAAAATAGAAAAGATAAAGTTTATATTAATCTACACCACGAAGATGCCGGAAAATCAGCTTTTTGAAGTGAGACAGATTGTATGATTATGGAAATGCAAAAGGCAGAGCATTCCACGTAGCAATGGGGAGAGACGGAAGAGTAAAAGGGATGCCAAGCAATATTCATGCGGCAGTCAGCTGATTGATGTTTATCTGCACAGTGGAGTGGGGCAAGAGGGACGAGAACGGCACGTGGAGCGGGATTCTGGGAGACGTGCACAGGGGTAGGAAGCACCTGGCCGTCAACTACTTAACCGTCACCGACCAGAGAGCACAAGACTTTGACTACTCTGTGTCTTACTACAATGAAGGGTAAGTCACTCCGCCATCCCCTACTAGCATAACCTGACAGTGTTTTATGACGAACAAACAGATAGACAAACAGACGGAAGAATACAGACCGAAATGCCTCGCACAACAATAGTTAGGAAGGTCAAAATATCTTACTAGTATAACATGGCAGATAACATGACGATTGGCCAACTGACATTAATAGGTCAGGTGGACTACACTACCACAACGGTAATAATTGTCACATGTATATACAGTACATCCAGGTATTACATCCTTCCTCTCAAGTAAACAAAGATTTCCATGTTTATTTACGAAGTCAAAAGTATATATGTACAGTCCCCTTCACTAGTGCGTTTACAGGGGCTCGTCAGATTTTGTGCAGTGTGACAGCCTTGTTTATTTACATTCGACAAACGGAACTCGCACTAGTAAACATACTGTGGAATCAAATTAAAACAATATTAAAACAAATACCTCAAAGATAACGATTTGTGGAATGTTAATATGACGAGGCTCTGTAAATGCACTAGTGAAGGGGACTGCAAATTATGTATAGTGTATATAACAGTATGAGAAGGCCCCTCACGTTCAGGGTGTTCCAAAAGTCCGTCTTCAGTAAGAAACCTTCGCCTTTATTGCAGCAAATATCCAACTCTCATGCCCTGAACTTTCATACAGATATCATTTCTTGCTTATCATCATCTCTGCATGCTTCTCAGTCCCCCTGCGTTGATTTTTTTTTACGGGGATTAGGCCACTGATCCACAACGGGGCTTGTGGAGGGGATGTAATAATAATAATAATTCATAGTAAATAAAATGCAACTTGTTCCGAAAGGCATTCCTCAGCTCGTCGATATAAAGTACGAACTTTTGTGACATCCTGTAGAATAGTTCCTCGATAAGCCACACACACAGGCACACAATAAACGAAACTTGGTTGAGATTTTCCCATTGGTATCACATGTTTTGCCTGAAAGAAAAAAACAAATGTAGTACGCCCATAATTCGCGTAAAACACAGAGCGAGGTAACCCCCGGACGCCAAGGACGGGGGTCCGGGTAATTGCTCGTTCGTGTGCCACCACCTGTGTTCATGTGTACCCCGACGTGCATAAATAACATCCCTGTAATTTTTATGGAAATTTCTTCAATATAATTAATAGGTTTAATTGATTTAGTCATTCTTTCAAATTATGTTTATTTCCTTTTGGGCGTGGGGTCTGTATCAGGTACTTAACACAGAAGGTATTAATTCTTAGTTACAGCCAAGGTAACTCCTAATTTGGTGATGTTATTTAAGTAATGGTGCCACTATATAACGCGTGTATGCAATTATAGATTATATTTGGAAGCTTTATCAACATGCGATTGCACCTTGAATATAACGCTTCTGGCATACCTGTTTGAATTATAGTACACGATATTTAAGTAGCGAAGTTTTTTCACACGTTAATGGAATGTATTTTTTACTAAGTTTGTTGCTCGATAGACGATTACTAGCGTATACTGACTCGGCAATTTACAGCACCCCAGTATAATCTCTCCAGTATACCTCGCTATATTAATTACTGTATTTTCACTGTATTTTGTACTTTACGCCCTCCTGTATACCTCGTTATATTATATTGCTGTACATGAACCTTGCAGCTACCAAGGATTAGTTTACTTATATTATTGTTGAGTTGGTGTGTGGTGGACGGCAGGTTCGGGCTCGCACTGAAGGTACCGCCGCCGCTGCCACGCTGGAGGAGCCTCTTGTACCCTTACACAAGCGAGGCGTGGGCCGCCCTCGTCGGGGTCGTCCTGGTCGTGGGCTTCACGTTCTACCTCCTCAACCTCAGCAGGTCCCGCTTCTCGCTGTCGAAGAGTCTTATGATGGTCATGCGGGTAAGACAACACCTGACCTCACCTTTATCTTCTTAACCCCTTTATTTAAGGACGATGACATAACCTGAAAATGACGACTTAACCCTCTGAAGATGATGACTTAACCCCCTGAGGACGATGACATGACCTGAAGATGACGACTTAAACCCCTGAGGATGATGACTTAATTCCTTGGGGGTGATGATGATGATGACTTAACCTCCTAAGGATGATGGCATAACCTCCTGAGGACGATGACAACCTGAAGACGATGATGATGATGATGCCATAACCTCCTGAGGACGATGACTTAACCGCTTGAAATTGTATACTGTCTAACTTAAAAATTACTAAAGACTGATTCTCTCCAGTGCCACATTTTGTGTGTGTTCTTGTTTTTAAAATGGATAAAACTTGGGAAGATTTTGCATTTCGTAACGTAGTCTTAGCATTAAATTAATTTAAGAGAAACGTTGGGTGCTGAATAAAATCTTCTGGCGTTAGTCAAATAAAATATTAAAGGGTGCGTCCAGTTGCGAAGGCGTTGAGACTGCAGTTTAAAAAAGGATAACCTAGAAAAGTAATGTTGTTACTCTTGACAGTTGAACAATCAATGACCCTCCACCACCTGTGTTCACTGGTTTATACTCTTCACACTGTTGTGAAGGTTAACGAATGCCTAATTTTATAAAACTTTAAATTTATGAAAGTAACTATCAGTCATAAACATTACATAACTAGTTGAACGATTAGAAATTCACTAGACAGTCGAAGACTTAAAACAATTGAGAGTTCTCAGTTTCGAGAATTTGGAGAGCACCAACATCCATATTTACAATAATATAAAATCTTCAGGTGAGGTTAAGCTGAGGAAATATTTATGACTTAATTTACACTTGAGAGAGGTGAGCGACCTTGTATGACATGCCTGCGGTATAGTTGGCTGAATGTGTCCTCCTGCCCCGCCAGGTGTGTGCTGGGTGGTCCCGGGCTCCCACGGTACGCTGCCGGGGGACACTTATCACCCGTGGTCTTGTGCGATTTCTTTACCTGTTGTAATGCTACACCCGTCGCCGTCTTCGTTTATTAACGACATTCGCTGTAAATTTAGATCTAATAATGCCACTACATTGTCCAGGGGGCCACACACGCCGAGGTGTCCTACTGAACTGTTTCCTCACATAGCTTAGGAGCCTTTCAGAGTCTTACTTAGTAGTAAAATGAAATACAAATTTTCTTAATTGAAATAACGTTCTTGTTTCATTTCATTCTCTGCATAAGAATAGATCCAGAACATATTCTTTATATAGAGGTTTATGAGTCATTGAATGATTACCGGTATGTCGGGATCAGTACGGAAGCCTATTGTTATCAAAAACTTGTTGTAATCGACATTTAAATGATATCAACATCAACGCTGATTCTAAGCATATGTATAACCTAAGGGCTTCAGCCAAGAAGCTAGAAAATTTTATCCCAACACTCTTGGTGGGAAAAGGATAGAGTTGAAAGATCTGTTTACTCATTTTTCTCTGAGGCTCCACGTAAACAAACTGGGCTAATCAAGAGAAGTGTCCTACAGTGATTATTTGCAAGATACAGTCAATAATGTTTGGTCAGGGCCACAATGTACAGATATTCTTGTCATTTTCCTGTCGTATGTTTTGGTGTCTCACTCCTACATACTGTCAAGGCTTCGCGAAGTTCTCATATCTATTATACTTGAGGTTTGGTGTGTGTTAGGCGTCCTTACCTCGTATTGTGAGGACTTGGTAGACACACGAGTGGTGGTGAGAGATAGTTTTGTGACTCATAATTCCCGTTTGTCTACCTCATTGCTTCGTTGTACTGTTGCTTCCCTTTTAATATGCCAGAGACGGAAGTGAACGATGTAACATTTTCTGATTGTGGGTAATGTTGCCTTAGGTGAATCAAAGGTAAGGACTTTTTCGATGTAAACAAATCTAGATTGTTTTTATCAATTCTACTAATGACTAAAGAGAAACACTTATTGTTGCTAATGTTGTTTTAATGCATCGAGTTGCTTCAACGGCAATTTTTAAGTATTAATTATGACTCTTTGTGTGTGTGTGTGTGTTGCAGGGTATGGTGGGTCAGTCCGTACAGCGAGTGCCGACATGGTGGGTGGTGCGGATTTTCTTGGGTTTGTGGTGGTTCTCGGCCTGGGTGCTCGACATCTCCTACACCAGTAATCTCATCGCCGTCCTCACCGTCCCTACATACCCCTCCAGGATACACACCATTGAGCAGCTCGCCAACAGTGGGCTCAGGTAGATAGACTTGCAGATGTTAAAATATGTTTTATATTGAACGTTTGTGATGCAGGGGAGCGATATAGACAGCAAATAAAGGAAAACTATACGTGAGATATCTAGAACCAGGTAATGATTAAGTGATTCTAGGTGCCAGGTGGAGTATGTGAATATGGAAGCATCCCAAAGGATCCATAAAAGTAATTGTTGTTCAGAAAAATAAACATAATTCAGGGAACAAGAACTGCTTATCTGTCATTAGTGCTATATAATGCAATTTATTAATGAATTATCCATGTAAGGAAGTACAGTAATCGGCAAATACAATTTTTCAGATACATTATTGAAAGTGACAGTGATAAAATAAACTGGTGTTGCTTAATTCTGTATTGAAGTCTTGTGGTGATCACTTAAAGAATAATTATTTCTGTAATGATATACCTAACAAGGAGCAGCCAGGTGTGGGCACGGCTAGACTGAGGCGTCCTGTGTTGTATGTCAGGAGGGAGTTATTTGTTCTCATACAACTTGGATTAGTCCGGACTTAAACAGGACCTCCGGGTATTTATAAAAGCTGATAATTGTTTTGTTCATGTTCAAAACAGCGTGTCAAAATTTCTTGAAGATCTTGCGTGGCCAAATGACTAAGAAAAGGAATAACATTATTTTCTGTATTTCTCTTTGTAAGTATAAGAGGTTGAGAAACATGACGAAATATGTCCTGGGGTTGTGTGATAATTTTATCATATTGCATCTTGGAATGGATTATTTGGCATCTGATTGAGATGTTTTTCTTTTGTTATGTTAGTTACAATTTTCCGTTAGTAACATTTAACTACACTACATTGAAATAAATTCGTGTCGATTTATCGGAATATATCTAGTATGCCATAAACAAATCCTGTCCCATTCTTATACAAACAAGTTTCATCTGTTGGTGTCGTGGCCAGGTTGTGTATGTTGGACTACGGGGAGTTCGTGCCTGAGGCGTTGGCCACCTCGTCGGACGTGATACTGGCCAGGCTGGGGCCCAAGCTGGACTTAGTGCCCATTATGAGTAGTCTTGAATACAATGGGGAGGAGGCCTGCGTCGAGCGGGTCCTGGCTGGCACTCATGTCCACACAGAGACCTTCTCCTACGAGCAGATCCTTTATATCGAGATGGGCGTCGGTGAAGAAGTATATTTCCTCAAGGAGCAGCTGTATGTGGGCAGTCTGGCTTTCTTCTTCCGCAAGAACACTCCTTGGAAATACAAATTTGACGCGGGGATGCGACGTCTCGTGGAAGCCGGTCTCGTCCACAAGTGGTACTCGGACATTATGGATGAATTCAGGAGAGGCATCAGATCGGTAGGTCAATCCTTGTCTTGCTCTTTGACTCTCTCTTGATTTTTTCCACTCGTTTGTTTTCTGTATTCAACATGGCCTACCTACCTGACAGCCAGTTTGAATTTTAGGTAACCAGGTCATAGTAATGCCTTAAATAACAGTATTCGTTGTATTCATTTTCGTTACCGTATAGTATGTAATTTTAACGTCTTTGGTAATTGTGCATGATGATTACACGATCCTACACGAGAATTCCATTAATACCAGCAAAAGTGATGCAGGCCCTCGGGGAACCCTTGTTATGCTGTAATATTATTAAATAGACATGTTAGTCTGGGCCTACTGCTACACCCTATTTATATGGGGCTACTGCTGCACCCTATATATCTGGGGCTACTGCTGCACCCTATATATCTGGGGCTACTGCTGCACCCTATATATCTGGGGCTACTGCTGCACCCTATATATCTGGGGCTACTGCTGCACCCTATATATCTAGGGCTACTGCTGCACCCTATATATCTGGGGCTACTGCTGCACCCTATATATCTGGGGCTATCTTAAGTCCCCAGGTGTGCCCCCGTCAGCTAAGGTCACTTCCTCCCACAGGACAGAAGGTCAGAACTACAGGCACTGACACTGGGCCACCTTCAAGGGCCCTTCATGTTGCTGCTGCTAGGGATGGCGTTGGCCACCGTGGTGTTCGTGGGGGAGAGCCTCCTCCGTCCTCCATGCTATCCCTCTCCCAAGGCGGCGGCGCATCAACCTGGTAGTCGCCCGCTGGTGTGTCTGTAAGAACCGGAGAGGAAGGTGGACCTTAATTTGAATGATACCAGAGCACCGCCATCTCTCTTCACCCAGAACGAACGCTGTGACTCATCAGTTTGTTTGTCCATCGCCCTCTTCCTTCCTCCCTTCCTTCTTGGTGATGCAGAAGAGGAACATTGTAAATAGAGATATAAGTATTTTTGCGATGTCACCTCTAACAATTTTTAACCCGCCTCTGACGATACTCACTTTTGCTCTAAAATAATCCTCATTTACTCATATCTGCCCCAACTGATGTTTCATTCCGTGTAAATTATTATCAGTCAATTTTATAACATAACGGAGTGAGTTTAGCAAAACAGTCTATGCGTTAAAGAACTCATTTTAGGGAACAGATGTGACTGTCAGTGACTTCCTCTGTCAGGTGTAAAATCAGAACCCCGAACCCCATCAGAAATAACGGAGCCATATTTCCAAGTAATGACATATTATTTTACTAGTTTTCTAAGGGTTTAAACTACTTATGAATTTCTTACAATAAAAACAAATAGCCACAAAAACTCATCTAGTCCTGTGCATTATGAGCCCTTTAGAATTTCTTCCTGGTTATGTCAACTATTTGGTTATAAGATACACCCTTAGTCCGGTTGAATGAATCTGCCCCAATTCTTTTTCACCCACTTCGACTATTGTTGACTCAGGCTGACCGAGGGTGAGTCAAGGTGAACATGGTCCTCTCAAGACAATCATGGTGACCTTGAGCCTTCCAAGACTTATTCAAGCACCTTTCTGGTTATGTTACCCTCAGCTGATACCATCCCTGTGTAACTCTAAGCAAGCCTTGTTTACTCTGGCAGTTCAGCCTAACCCAAAGCGACCTTATTTGAATCTAAAAGACTCCCATAAACCCAAATCGACCCAAGTCAACCCAATCCCAGGGTGAGTGATATATATACCCACTCAGGTTGACCCCTACCGAGTCTACAAGTTAATCCCAGTTTGATTTTGGTTGACCTTTTATTATCTTAGTTGAGTTAGGTTAACCCTAGATGACACAGATGAACTTAATTTTATCTTGGTGGACGCCAGGTGATCCAAGTTAACCTCCAATGATTTAAGTAAATTCCAGATGGTGATAACATATACTAGCAGTTAGGTCATCACTTGTCATCGTCTTCAGCAACTAAATCTCAACAGGCAGATCCTTCAAAGCTTTTTTTTTCATTTCTTCCCTTTTTCGTGCACTTTATTTACCAGGAGTTAAAGTTTTATCTTTGCTGACGTGTTCAGAAACTTAGTGTCGTGTTCTGGCAGTGTAAGCAGTCCTGAGGTGATGTTGGTCTCCTCTGCCCAAACTCTTCATTATCCTCAAGTGAGTAAAATCGATGAGCTTCAGACCTGAGGCGAATGTAACCTACAATATTCATTCACATCTCTCCCATGTACTCATGACCCACAGCAGGAGTCCCAACCACTGAATTTGAAATCCAAGGTTGCATATCCGGCCACTAGATATATGGGTGGAGGGAATATTCTTTTATCTATTTATTTTGTATTGACTTAGCTGAGAATTACCGGTGTCCCTTTAAAATTTTGCATCTAACGTCTAATGAATTGTTATTTGGGATCAATATTCTTATGGTTAGTGACTTAAGAGAGGGTACCCACAGCATGGAAGAGTCTCGGCTCTACAAGAAGGTATTAAAGAGGAGACTGCAATAGCCACTCTATTAAGCGGTGATAAACGGTATATTGAATATAGTTACAGGTAAAACTATGCTCAAGCTGTAAATTTTAGCTCAACCATAAACATAGTTTATAAGTGAAGATGAAAGTACACTACCTGTACACAGTTTCCCAATCTGTGAGATAAGAAGAATCATAATCTTATACACTAAAACATGAACGAATGAAAACACAGATATATCTCTGCAGCGATTTATTGAGAACCTGCCTTCAACAAAAACTTAATACTGTCGACATCGTCATTGTCTTCGTCATCATAAAAAAAAATAATAATTTATGGTTCGCCGTCAGCGACATTCTTCACAGGTAAGGTGGTGTTGTTCTAAATTGCTTGGTGCACCAGAGCACCAGCTAGTGTCGCATTTTGTATGTATACTTATTGTGTTACTCTGTACAAGACCAGAGATATATCTCTTCTATTTTTTTTTCAATATTGTTGATACCTTGTGTATGATCTAAGAATACGCACTTAAAAGACCGTAGTTGTTGAAGCTATAATAGTCAGGCTTTCACTGAACAGTACTTAAAGTATGCTTATTTGTGAGATGTTTTGTAATTTGGTGTAAACAGGTGTAATGTGTGATATTATTTTACCATATTTATTGTAACTTATCCTAGTGTAACAAACTGATCGTGGGAAGACATACAGCTGTACAATACGAATATTTATAGTGCAGTCCTGGTGATTGATGCTGCATTAGGAGCCTCAAAACAGGGCCAGTAAACAGAGTATCCGATAAGTTTATCTCTGATGTCAACGATAAGACAGAAATTAATGTAATCACCTTTACTGCACTGTTACGGTCGTTTGACAGGTCTTTGTATTATTATTGAGTCTGCATTTTTTGTATAGGCAGTAGAGTAATAAATAAGCTGACGTCATGAGTTCCAACATCAAGGAGCTTGATTATGCAGAGGGTCTTCGGGTGGGTACTCGGTACTTCTCTAGCAGCGTCTTAACGAGAGACTGCCGACCAGGTTGTCAGGTTATATAATAAGATATTCAATTGATTACAGTCCTTCATGTCCCACCAGGCAGCACCGAGAGTCCATAATTCATACTTCTCAAATTACCTGCCACACTTTATTGTCTCTTGCTTATACCCTCCCTGCCTATCGACTGTCTGCCTGTCTGTCTATGTGTGTTTTCTTGTCTTCCTCAGTCTATTTCTTTCGCTCCGTATACTAGTCTGTCCAGCAGTCTTTCTCCTTGCTTTTTTTTTGTCTCCCCCACTATAGTATATTAAATTTATAAAAATCAACTCTCTTTGCATCATAAATATTACGAGGATAAGATGTAAACTACCTGTATTTTTTTCCAAGTTCCGAGTGAATGTAACTAACCTTTTTGTCACATGATAAATACTGTATTACTCGAGTTTCTGAAGCTGTTACTGCCAGATCAAGTTGCTTAATTTCGACAAACCGTACCATAAAATTGATTCTCTCTCTCTCTCTCTCTCTCTCTCTCTCTCTCTTACACATAGTTTCAAGGCTGCTCAACTTAACACACCGCAGGTCATTTTAATGCGTCTTCCTGCAGGTATATGCTGTATGTCACACTCTCGGACAACATAATCACTGCGACGTACAGTATATTATAATGATTAGTAGGAAGACGGGGGCTTCTCTGTTATTTATTCATTTAGGTGCCCGCAGCACTATGTACAGTACTGTAGTGGAAACGTTCCTACTCCCCTGTGGTAATCCGTGTCTCCAAACAGCAACGTCACAGTAGTAGTATCACTGTTTATGAATGAATGGGTATTGGTCGTGTAACGACGGACGTGATTGGTGGATAGGTTTGCTATAGGTCATATAAGTTGGCCATTTGGTGACACGGGTTACCACAGCGAGTGGTAGGAGCACATTTCTATAACTGTACAGTTGAGGACTTTTCCAACTGTCACAGTTAGCGTTGTTAGTCCACCCTCTCTGTGAGGTGTGAACCCCGAGAGTATCTACTCTTAAATCTGAAGCATTCACCTATGTAGGGTTGATAGAGGAAGGCCTGGAGTCTCTAAATATTGTCTTTTTACGACTTTCATGACCTAATAAATAACATGCATTTGATTATTGTGAACATTAGCATAAAAATATTAATGTGTGTTTCTTGTCTCCCTGTAACACACCTGGACAGCTCCTCGTGACATATTACCAAACTCTTGAATAAAGTCAGGTCGAGAGAGGGAGGCAGGGTCAAGTATGAAAATCGTTGGTGTTAAGTCTACAAATATAACATTATTACACGAATGGGATTTGTGCATTTGGCCCTTCATACCCTACTAAACACCCGTTAAAGGGGATTGGATAACCTGTTTTAGTTTTGGGTTACCATATCAGAGAAAAAAGTGACCACAGACACTCAGGGATCTACAGAGTGTTACCGCCAAGTTTCATGCAAACTGTTCATTATGAAGCAATATACGAATATCATTTTTTATCAATATTCCTTGTAATCTCTTTTGGCAATAAATACTTCGATCGTTTCAGCACACATACAGTGTAAACAATGTGTGAAATGTATCTCAGTCCATATGACTTCTATCACATACAAAAATATGCTCGTGATGTGTTTTCTACAGATATTTCGTCATTTCATTATTGGACATTGGCTTTGTCAGAGTATTTTCCTGTATGGGCTGGATGTGGTTGTGGTGACGAACAGCAATTCGCGGATGAGAGATCTCAGGTGGAAGTAGGAGCAGTGTGGCGTGGGTGGGCATATGGCACAACACGTACCCATAATGCCTCCACATCAGCTGGGACTGAAACATTCAGGCATGACGGGCGTAGTTCATCTTGACAGAAGAGGGCAATGCCCCCTCCACGTCCAGGTGAACGATGGTGATGAAAGAGTTGATATCCCACAATGTGGCAAGTTTCAGGAACAATTTGCCACATCTCACAGATGGCAACGATGTTGGCAGCAACTGACCGGACTGTGGTTGCCAGTTCGTCAAATTTATTGGCTAAGGAAGTGATGGTGGAGAGCAGTAAGGAGGGGAGATTGTACCATATTCGGGGAACTTCAGTGTATTGGTACGGTCTGTCAGGAGTAGGTTTCTCTGCTTTTCTAGTGGAGGTGACGGTCCTAGTGGGCTTTTGTTTGTGACGCCCTTGTCTATGGATGTGAGCATGGAATATGTTCAGTGATTTTAGTAGCGCAATAACACTGCCATCAGGATATCCGTCCCCTTGCTTTAAACTGTATAGGGTGCGCCTGGAGTACGTCACTGGTAGACATCTGTTAATATTAGGCTAGTCGTAAACACTGTGGTAGTCCTTGTCACTGGCACTTTGAAGGTCATCGACAAAATGCCCACAGTCTGGCATTACAGTGCTCACTGGTGATTTGCTGTGGATCACCGTTTGGTAACCAAACATTGCACTGATCACTTGAATGTTTTGCTGATAAATCCGGGTGTGGTAAGATTGGTAGGGAGTCGGGATGGGGCAGGCGGGAGGGATGGGGGCAAACAGACTTGGCCTGGCTGCCATTCAGGAGCGCCTACAGGACACGTCTTATCTCACTGAGGATTGACTGATCCTGCGTTTGTGTGTGTGTGTGTGTGTGTGTGTGTGTGTGTGTGTGTGTGTGTGTGTGTGTGTGTGTGTGTGTGTGTGTACATCGCGTATTGGTTTTTATTTACATGACATCTGGCAAACAGTTTAGAAGATCAACTATAAACTTGGTCTATTTGTTAAGGGGATAACTTCTCGACTTCTCATACATTTATGGTATGTCCCATGTTTGGTTTCTCTGGTCATCACTTCCACGGTGAGCGAACCTCGTGTTCTATAAATAAGTAATAGTAACTGAGACGCAGAAGGTAAGGTATTCAGAGATATATTTCCGCTTGTAGTTGAGTAAAATATAACTACGTGAGAGATGTGGTGATACATATATTAGATATATAATCAGATAAAGAAAAGTGCACGATCCAGCACTGCGCTGGTGTAGGAAATTTTTTAGAATATTATACAGCATTTAGTGTTATTCAGATTATCGTTTAAGCATTGCCAAAGTCGACATAAGGATGGTGGTTCGTGAAATCCTCCGCATCACCTGGCGAGGCGGTGGTGTTGTAGTGGTAGTGGCACAACAAGTATTGTTACCAGTCCAGTTTCAGTATCACAAGACCATAGGAGAAACAGTGCCAACACTTTTCATGTCATTATTTGCGGCGTCATATGCTAGACTGCAAGAGCGTGGATTACAGTACAGCATACAGTGTTCATAGGTACAGTCACCCACAAAAGTCCTGTCGCCTCTCCTTCTGAACCATGAACCCTGTACATGGTGGTTACAGTGGTATGAGCAGTAGGTCAGAGTACAGTGGATCACATTACTGTCTTTTGACATACCATTGTCAACAAACGCGTCAGCATCACCATTACTATTATTACCAAGACATCCCTGGAGGAACCTCGCCAGCGGCACATGATGAGTGGTGCCCGGGGGACCACCTGCATCATTTCCGGTGGGCGGTGAGTCTCCCACCGGCCTGGCGCCCACCTGCTGCCCGGCCACTCCCCGTCCTGTACCATCACTACCTGTCCTACACCACCACCACTGCCCACCGTCCTGCACCACCACTGCCCACCGTCCTGCACCACCACTACCCGTCCTGCACCACCACTACACCACCTGAC